CAAATGCTTGAAAAAGCCCTCTCCCAATCCCTAAAAGAAGAGGTAACCAAATACCTCTTCAGTTAGAAAATGTTGTCACAAGGCCAAATCAAGCACAAAAAGCAAAACCTCATCCAGTCTCTATTCGGTGTGGTTAAAGCAAATGAATCATCATCGAGCATCAGATACATAGAATAAATGAGATCAGGAAAAAAAAAACAAAAAAAAACAGATAAACATAAAATAGTTCCAATTCAATTTCAAACAAAAAAATAAAACGACACAAATTTTGTAATTAATTCGTTAACTTTAAGGAAAAACAATCGATGCCCAGAAGACCATAAACCCAAAAAAACAAAATAGCAAAAGCAAAATGCTTAATTTCATGGAATGAAAACCAATACCCAAAAAGGGGGAAAAGCATAAATTGTTTAAAAAAAAACTAGAAATTGTGGAACCTACGAGAAATAGCAAAAACCCATTGAAATAGGGACATGCCAGTCCATAGAGGCACTCGTTGATATTTGCATCCTATAGTATTCTCTATTGTGGGTTAGAGAAATAGAGAATCATGCAGATGCACGTCACTTTCAACAGAAAGAATCGATTATTAAAAAACTAAAAATTGGAGAAGAGAAACCTATGGTTAAGAGAAACAATTAGATCTGAAAAACAGAGACTGGTGAAGAAGAAATAGCTGGCAGTTGACTTATATAGATCCGGTGGAATTAGGGTTTTGTTTTGTGATTTGTGGAAATTACGAATTTACCATTGTAACTGTACGGCCATTTAGGCTTAGAAAAAGGAGCACTTCCACACGATAACAAACATGGAAGAGTGGAGAGAGAGACATTCAAGTTACTAAATTTTACATTATTTATTTTTTAAAATGTGTATATAATTAAAAACTAAAAAGCTTATGTGCGTTATTTGTCTAAGATGAAAGATTTTAGTCATTTAAATTTTAATAGAATAATTTTAATTTTGTATTTATATAAAATGAAAGAAAAATTAGTAAAAATAATACGATTAGAAAATATGGTGAGCTCAGTTATTAGAGATAATAACTAAAATATGGCTAACAATTTTTTTTTAATTTATATACTTATAAGTAAGTCAAGCTTTTTTTATTAACATAAATAATTTTGGGTTAAATTGCAGTTTTTATATCTTTATTTTTATTAATTTGCAATCTTCATCTTTCTATTTTAAAATAAGGATATTTTATTCTTTTAATTTTAAAAATACAAAATTTTAATTTTTCAATACTTAGTTAGAATTTAAGCTCTCGACTTTGTATCTTACTCAGTTAGTCATTTTATACAAGTACACCTTAACCTTATTCACATACAGATCAACATCGGTCACTTATAGTTATAGTCGGTATGTCTTGACCTAACTCACGTGTTGCATCAATTAAGGCTTTAGAGGTGACTCAACTATCCACTTCAAGAGTTAGCAACTCAAGAAAGACTTTTCAACAGCTAAGCTCTTAGAACATCACACTAATATTCTCACAATGGGATATCCAACTTTCAAAAATACTTCCTCCTTTAGTCTTAAGTTGATCATCATATTAGGCCTAAATGCTCAAAGCATTATCAACATCACACCTCAACAATGTAACAACACCACATGTTTAAATGTCTAAAACATTATCAGTATCACACCTCAACAATGTAACAACACCACATGTCTAAATACCTAAAACATTCTCATTATCACACCTCAACAATATAAACATCTATATATATCATCTCAAATCAATATACACATAGTAAATATCATTTAACAACACACAACATGCAATAGATTTACCTAACCTATCCATGTTCACCACATCATCAATCAAACAACAATATTTTGCAAAATAAATAATGTTTGATGCTATAGACCTTGCATTTGATGCCATCAAGACAGGGAACCCTTTGTCTCACTCACATCCAATGCCATTTAACTCGCACTCGATGTGGATGAGGTAAAGAACCCTTGGGTTCTCACACCTAAAGTGGAAAAATCCACGTTCGAGCCTGTCTTAGGCAGAGACGAGTCTCTCTTCTCATGTTTAACGTCATTCATTTGATGCCACGACAAATCGGGTAAAGGCAATCCTCTCACCTCACATCTAACACCATTTAAACCATGTACGATGTAACCAAGTCAGAGGTTTTCTTTTTTCTCGTGTCCAACACCACTAGTTCTACACTTGGTGTGAACAAGATAAAGGCCCTTGATTTGAGCCACACTCAGCACCATGAAGGCACGACCAATACATTGATGAGTTCTACATCTAACATACTTGTGAGTTGGCTCTCCTTTCACTTGAAAATCATAAAATCCAACATGCAATGCAACAATTCATACAACATACAACTCTAGATCTTTGAAGAATGATTCAGAGGTCCATTGTGGAAATAAAAGGAAAAAAGGTCACCTTAGGTTTTAGAGCATCTCTCTTTCTCTAGTATCTCTCTAAGTTTTTTTGATAAATGAACTTACGAATCTCAAATATCAAAATAAACCCTATATACTTCTTTTTTTAAGGTTAAATTAAACTTCTGACCAAATAAATCACTAGAACCACCCAAAAAATTCCTCTGGAGTTTCTTAATTCCTAAAGTTTATCAACATCACACTTTAAAACATCACAACATATAATTATTGTTAAAAGACATTAATTAACACGAAAATCACAGTATTACAATAGGTCAATAAATAATGTCAAAAATTAATAATTAACAAATATCAAATAGGCAGTAAGACCAAACTTTCGCATTTTTAAAAAATAAAAATATTAAATATCTTTATTTTAAAATAAATAGACAAAAATTAGAAATTGAACAAAAATAAAGAAAAAAAATATAATTTAGTCATAATTTTATTAAAAATGTGATCAAGCTTGAACTCTCTATTTAACGAAAAAAAAATATACAACTATGGTCATTCGTTACTTGGTGAGAAATTAATCATTTCCTTTATTCTCAACTTCCTATATTTAAAAGTATTTGAATTTAAGTTATCAATCATAGTTTAAGACTTACATGGATTTGAATAATTTTTATTTATTTATTATTATTATGTCTTAACCTTTTATGAAAAAACATTTTTTTTACTGAATTTGTAAAAAAAAAATTAATTTTTGACGTGACTTATTTATAATATAATAATTCTCTTAAAAAATTAACATATTTTTTAATAAAAATTACATTCTCTCAAAATTTCAATAAAGAAGGTAATTTAATTATTATTTTTTTTTATAAATTTTATTTTTTGGTCATTACAGTTAACTTTATTTTATTTTAATCTTATACGAATCAATTTTTTTTAGTTTCCATTGTTTATTATTATTGAAACTAAAAAATAAAGGGTATGCATATAATTATAAGAGTGCTTTGTGCACAAAATTTTACAATTGTTCAAAGACATAAAATTAAGGTTAAATACCTCTTTTGTTCCCTTACAATATTTTTTTGTTTCAATTTAATCTCACTTTAATTTTAGGTCCCAATTTGGTCCCCAATAATTTAAATCATTGCAATTTGGGACTTCCATCCAAATGATTTAAACGAAGTTAACTGGTGACCACGTGGATGACAGGTGGATGCCACGTAGATGCCACGTAGGTGGATTCCAAAATACTTGAATACACCTGGAACCAGAACGGCCCGTTTTGGTTTTAGAACGGGTCGTTCTAGTCCAGAATTTCGTGCACAAAAAAACCAAAATATAAAGCATTTTGAACATTAGATTTGGTAATATTGTTAATGGGGATTAATAACTTCAATTGCTAAACATTTGGGTTATACAGTGTATCATTAAGGACAATACAGTGTATCACTAAAGACAATCGTAGCAGATTTTATTTCATTGTTAGTCAAACTGGAGTGAACCACTTACTACCAAATTGACACTATACAGTAAAGGATGAAACAAAACGGTGTTTTCCCTTGAAGTCATTAACGATGTACCCCAACAATAATAACATGTTCTTGAGGAGGTACAACCTGAATTTTTGTGGTTTAGGGTTTTCCTTCAGCGTTACCAGATGATTTCCTTTCTCAGCAATTTTTTTAAACCTTTTTAGTATATGTTATGTTCTGAATTTTTGTTTTCAGTTTCTGAACCATGTTTCTGTCTTTGAATTTATGATATGTTATGAATTTTTATTTTTCAATTTTTGAATCACGTTGTGACATTTTGGTCAACGAATGCATGGAGTTGGCTTTCTGGAATGGGCCGTTCTGAATCCAGAACGGCCCGTTCTAAAACCAGAATGACCCGTTCTGGTTTCAGAACGGGTCGTTCTGGTTCCAGGTGTATTCATGCAATTTGGCGTCCACGTACGCATCTACCTGGCATCCACGTGACCAACAGTTAACCCTGTTTAAATCATTTAGACGAAAATTCCAAATTGTAATGATTTTAATTATTGGAGACTAAATTGAAATCAAAAATTAAAGTGGAACTAAATTGAAACAAAAAAATATTATAAGGGACTAGAAGTATTTAACCTAAAATTAAAGTTTAGTCAAATTTGATTATTTTATATACAAATCAACTTTTGATACTTGTTTACATATCAGGATCTAAATCGAAAATTTGAATTAAAGTTTTAATTCATTTACATGTTATCAAATTGAAAGTTAAACATAACATGGTTAATTGGTTATCCAAAAAAATTAAAAACTACACGTCGATAACTTATTAAAATGGACCCAAAATAGAAAACTCTTTGATTATGATACATTAAAATATTATCTTAATAACTGCTTTTAAACAACTCTATTCCATTATCTCTCGTACTATCTTTTTTATTTATTTATTTTTTCTACTTTCCGGAAATCTCCAACTAATCATCGATTTCATTGTTTTTGAAATAATAGAGACTCATACTGCCTCATTCCCGGCAGTGAGAATAGTTTTCGTTTTCTTTTTCTTTTTTGGGGGAAGGAGTGCAATATATATTTATATAGCATAAGATTATAATAACTCAATGGAAAATAAATAGTCAATGGTTGATAAATATTGAAACAATTCTAATTGAAAAAGAATAATAATAATGTGATTCAGTTGCAGCCTCATTCAGACCAAACCCTTGGATGGTTTTTGTACAAAATTGAATGGACCACTATGAACAAGACAATGCTGCTAAGACGACTATGTAGCAGCATTATCATCTACCACAAAAATTTTCAAGTAACACGTTCTGAAATATACCACTTTATAGCAAAACCACTCCCCATACTAGAAACCCAGTTACCATTAGAAGGCTTCTAATTCTCAAGTCACAGCTGCGAAGGTTGTAGGCTGAGGAATCTGAATTGGTAGAATTCATGGATGGAGCTGTGAAGTTACCTAAGGTACCATTTTTGCCAAGACTGCACATATCACAAACTCACCACTTGTGAGCAATAACATATTAACAACACAAACAAACATAGGAAAATAATGAAAATGAATCAAACAAACAAATATATATCTTATCTTACCTTCCAGGAAATACACAAGAACCATGACCTACAATCATTCAAAAAGTTGTTAATTACCGTAGAAGTTATTGATAGAAATAAAAAAGATAATAGTACTAGGGAACAATAGTTTACTTGGATCTGAGGTGGAGATTGTAGCCACTCCATTGAAGTCACATGCATCAGGAGTCTTTCCCATCTTATGATAGTAAGTGTCAAAGGCATAATTTGCATGTGCAATGACATTGTCTGGTTCATAGCATGGTTGCCCTTGTAGCAATGGAGAGCATTCCACTTTCCCAGGTCCACATGCCCAATCTAGTGCAGCCTGAAGCATTTTCGGGTCAGCACCATCCTTTGCAATGCAGAAAGTTTGATTGCTGGTATCATTTGCTAGGACTGCCCCTGATCCTGTCAAGTGTAAAATGTAAATAGGTGTCCCATTGGCATCAAACAGTCCCCAATTCTTCTCTGACAGCGGCCCCGATTTCATATCCTCGTTGTAGAGCTCATAGATGTAAGTACTAACACCAATTCCAGGGTGTTTTGGAGTTCCAGTTTTGTTAAAAACATGCTTGATCAAATTGCTGTTGTAAGTATTGGCATTGTCAACCGTTGCATCAGGTTCATTGGAGCCACCTTTTGAGGGCCAGCCCGACTCGGTCACTACTACAGGAATGTTGGTGTAATTTAGAAAACCCATGGCAAAGTATGCGGCATCAACCATGGCATCAAAGACATTGGTGTAGTGGAGAAGGGTGTTGGAGTCAACGGCTTCTTTGTTCGGAGGGAGAGGTTTGAAGAGTGCATAGTCTAATGGAATCACTCCATTTGATTGCATGTAGTCATAGTAAGGGTATATGTTTAGCATCAGATAAGAACCGGTGGATTGCAAGAATTCCAGTAGTGGGACTAAAACCGGATTGAGCGAACGGTTAAAGAAAGCTTGAGAAGGTGGAAATGAATCAAGGATGATGGAAGATGAAAGGGGTGTTGAAACTTTAACTTGGCGATCAAGATTGGATGCCACAAGGGCTGAGTGAATGTATTTGATAGCATTGACAAGTACTTTTGCTGCATTGGGGAGGGTAGTTAAAACATCAGAACCAACACAAATGGCTGTGATGTTGGTGGCTGGAAAATGAGCTACCACATTGCGGAAAACCCAATTCGCAGCTGAGGAATTCGATTGACCAATTGCTAGAAGCTCTTCATTAGGGACAGTCACAACAACTTGAATTCCTGTCTTTGCAAGTGCAAGGAGCATAGCTTGGTCAGCATCATACAATCGAACATGACGAATTTGCTGTGCTTTAAGTAGAGCTACTACTTGAGTAGGGTGTGGCATGTCTGAGAGATCGGTTCCAATATTCACTCCAATGAATGCTTCTGCATGGTACAAAGATTAAGATCCATCAAAAATTAGATTCAAGTCCTCACTCAATCAACCAGCCAAGTTGGAACTTGGAAGCATATGCAAGCAGACTCTTGTGCACATTTTGCTTGTTCCAAAGGATCCGTGTTTGGGGTGTAAATAAAATTTTATGATTATGTTTGTGTACATTAAACAATGGAATAGTTACCCAAAAATAGAAGCTTTTCCAAAAACCAATTCTCCAATCTTCACTACAAAGTATTACACACATCCAAATGTTGGGGAAAATGACAATACATAACTGAATAGAAGGACAAAAGAACCGTCATATTCAATATAAAATATATGAATCCTACAGGTGGACCGCATCCAAGAAGATCAACCAACAAAAGCCTGGCTATTATTTTAAAAACATAAGTATTCAAAATATTTTTTTTATGAAAACATTCAAACTCTACTAGAAAACAGACTAACCAATCATTCATTATCTCAGCCATAACATGCCCATCTAACATTGTTTCTGAACACTTAACACATTAACTAAATCTCAAATAACATTCAAACCTAAACCAAGCCAGGGTGTGCTACTGCTACTGCTAGGAAAAAAGCAAAAATGGAAGGGTGTATTACTATTTGAGCCTCGATATGACAAAGCATAGATAAGTTTCATTCCCACCAAGCAAACTCCAAAAACAGCAAGGAATCATACAAAGTGAGAACTAAACAAGTAATGGGTCAAGAAGAACCATGCAGTTGAAACATTACAAATGTGAGTTTTTGCATTGATTTCAAAACAATGCCAACCCATGTTGAGAAAATGAAGTAAAGGGCAATGAGAGATTCAGAAAGCAAGTACAAGTTGAACAAGTGGAAAACACAGGATCTCTTAACATTAGAGAAAGAAAAGAAGAGTGAGGAAGGATAAGGTGTTAAAAATGTGGACACTGACCTTCATCAGCTGCAGCAAGAGAGAGTGCTAAAAGCAGGAGAAGAAAATGCACAGCCATGGATTGAATGGCTCTGGAGAGGACTCAATAATGAAGGAGAGAGAAAGGAAGTAAATGAAGAAGGAAGGACTAGTTAGGAGTAAATTGAAAAGTGGAAAGTGGGGTAAAGCTGTAGGAGAATATATGACTGTGTTACAAGATCAAGACACAAATCACACGTGGAAAGCTTGTCAGACAAATCAAACGGCTAAGGAATCATCCTTCTATGCAGATTCACTGTGCTAAACCAGTTAGCCCAAGACCGAAGAAACAACACCCTCGACTCAAGACACCTTTTTCTCCTTTTTTCTATTTTTTTTGTTATTCATTCTTTAATAATGTGAAAATATATATAGTTGTAAGAACTACGTGAGATGCTTGAATAATTTTTTGACTTTTTATGAGTCTAGAGTATTTTTTTTAAAAAAGAATCAAGTTCGCTTTAACAGTTGGACAGAACATTCATAAATACTTTGCTAATTTCAGTGATTTATTTTCAACTATAGTATTAGTAAGTTGATTAATAATACGATCACTTATAAAAACATTTAATCTCACGGAATGTTTAACTCAATCTAAGATATATATATAGAGAGAGAAAAAAAAAGAGACTATATAAGTTCTTAATTACGGTAAAAATGTAAATATGTAATTATATTCATTAAATTAAAATTAACGGTTTAATTAAATTACATATCTAATTTTCTTTTTAATTAAAGATTGCATGAAGTTTTAAAAAATTACAAATGATTCATAATTGAATACATAATTTAAAATTTTAATTTTAATCTATTAATCTTTATGAATAGTGAAAGTGATATTTCTCTCTCTCTCTCTTTTGTTAGCACCAAAAGACATTTGTAACTAATTATCAAAGACTATTTCCTTCTCTATACCACATTATTAGGAATCAAACTCTTAACATCATCATATTTAAAGAATCTGCTAACTGCTCAGAACTTCCGTTAGTTTTGCGTACACATTTTGCTATATAATTTTACCTTTTAATAGCTTCTTTTAAAAAAAAAAAACTCATTTCTTTCTTCAATTTTAATAAATTAAGAATTAAGCTCATATACACATCAACATGTAACAAATAATTACAAATGCATCAAATTTAACTCTAAACCCAAAAATAACAAATGTGGGCAGACATGCACGTTACTCTCTGCCTTGCCACAAGTTACAATTAATTTCTGACCTATGATGAGTGCTCTCTCTCTCTCTCTCTGTATGCTAAAAGAGGAGTTGGAAAATAGCAAATAAAGAATGAATGAGTGTAAGTTGGTATAATATAAATATGATACATTATATTATAATAATGTCATTATTTATCTGATTAGTGTGTGTGCATGTGAAGGAGGAAGACATGCATGAGCATCTGTTGTTCTAGCCGTTAACGTACGGTGAGTTGGAGTGTTTTGTTGTGTTGTAGTAATAGCTGTGTCTGACCCTTCATCGATGTTCTGTGTGTTTTTAAAAGAAGGAAACAAACAAGGAATATGGTTGCATCTCTGAAGACACCGAAAAGTAACGATGTTGTATCGCAAATAAGAATGGATCACCATATCCATCAACGGTCCAATCCACCCCCTTCTTACGGGATTTCGTACCAACCATTGGGCCACTTTGTAAATGCCATTGTCCATGCTATTATTATTAGATAACTACGCCATTATTTATTCTATACCATACAACATTTTTACTTTTTATCCATTACATTTTTCATCTTCGTTGTTCATTGTTGATGTGAAAGTAATTCAATTTTTTTTATTTAGACTGGTACTGTTTAATCATTAACATAAACCAAACAAATGTTTTATCAGCAAAATTAGTTTGTTGTTATAGTCATTTGAAATTGAAGAAAAAAAAAATGGATCACATACGGTCGAAATAATCTAACTTTATTCGACTATATTATGTTACTAACTTACGGATTTTAGAGTGTGTTAGAACTGTTACTTTTTCTTTTCTCTATGTTTTTTTTTTTATTTCTACTCTCTTTATTTTGTTCTCACTAGGAGTTTAAAAGTTCTACTAAGAGTTGAAAAGTTTTCCTCGACTCTACTTATCTCTAAATAATTTTTTTATCTTGATCAAAAAGAATAATTTTTTTATATTTTAACTTAATTTTCAATGATAAAATTATTATAATGAAAAGTTTATTAATAAATCGGAATTTTTCTTCTTAATATAAAACAGTTTACCCTTGTCAAATATTATTTGTAATCTTTTATCTATTTAAAATATATTAAAACAATAAAAAAAAATTGTAATTAACATTAAAAACACTAAAAAGATTGACTACCAAATAAATTTAATTTCTTCTAATACATCACTATTTACATGACTTTTTTTTAATTTAAAATTATATGACTTCAAGTCAAACAAATCAATATAAGCAGTTGTATTAGTTTATTTTGATAGATTTATAAAACAAAATCATGATATACGGATTTTATCATTCTTATTTATAGTTAAATTTTTATAAAAAAAATTAAAGATTTTACTCCATATTAAAACTTATGCACTAGTACTTGTAAAATGATAAATTGCAATTGAAAAGTTTAAGAGGTGAGATAAAATATTTATTTCTAAAATATGTTTATAATGAGAGTTGGAGACTTAGAGGGGTAATAAACAAACAATTAAAATTTTCTTATTTTTCAAATGCTTTTATTTGTTTTTTAAAGTATAACATCTTTTATATTTAACATTATTCATTTTTAAAATAATAATAAAATATAAAGGTTACTTATGCGTGGTAAAAAAATAAATAAGATACTAATTATTCTTTGTCTCATAATACGTGTCATATTAAAAAAAATATATATAAAAAAAGTGTCATATTAATTTTTAAAATATAATATTAATTATGAGATTAATTTTATATAATTACTATTTTGTTTCATTTATTTATTAATTTTTCATGATTTGTATAAATTTTGAGTAAAATTAATTAGATACTCTATATTGTGATTTTTTTTTTTGTTCGTTCCTGGAGTATCTACCGTGAATAACATGACTAATCTTCTCGTTGGAGGCACCTCAAAGAGTGAAATAGTTGGCCCCAAAATTTAACGCGGTTACATATATAAGGTAAGATTCGAACCCCTGATCTTGCTTAATCGTGGATCAACCCCTACCGCTGAACCACACGTTTGAGATTTCTTTATTTATGAGTTTACCCCCATTAAGTTATTAATATGTTTTTTGAATTGATAAATCAAGTTAATAAAAAAAATTGAATAGTTGAACGGCTGGGTCAACAATTCTTTGTACACATTCATTCATACGTTTAATTGGGTCAAACCCAATCTAACATTCTAACTTAGCCCTATTTAAGTGGGGGACCCAACAGAAACAATGAACATTATTTTCCATCGTATTTATTTAATCACAACTAAATAATTGATTATTGAATTCTGGGGTCAAGAACTACTCCCAGTCTCCTACACACAGTTGGGAGTAAGACTTTTGTCAACCTAACAATTTATTCATTGTACCAAATTTTGTTAGTTAGTACTTTAGTTACTCCTGAAAATTACTTGCCATAAATAATATTTCTATACCGTCATTCAATAATAGATTATTTTGGGGGGTAATAATGCGATAAATAACTTTTATAGTACTCAATGGCGGAGTTTAAGAAATTATTTTGAGGGGCCAGAGCAGTCACACAACCAACATTCTTACTCTTTTTTTATTTTTAATTTATATATATTCTCCTCTCCATCTTTCTCTCCAAAAAAAAAAAACTTGACAGATATAGACTTCTCAAGTAAGTCATGTTTTGATTTCTTAAGAATTTTTTGTCATATTTTTATTTAAAAGAAAACATATTATGAATATAAACATGTAATGAGAGAACAAATTAATATTATGATAATAATTTACATTCAAAATCTGTTTATTAATTTTGTCGATATCGAGTTATCCCTCATAGACTCATTTATAAAAAAGGATAAAACATTAATTTTGGTGAGACGGGATTAGTATTTCAATTTACTTGGTTTGTTTTACTTAACTCGCCGACTCATTAGATCAAATGGCTTGCAAACTTTTGATTGACTTTATAAAAAAAAAATACAAATAACAATTATTAAAAAAAACATGAATTAAATTTTAAGACATTGAAATAAAAGTTTTGAGTGGTCTTATTATAGTTATTTTGTCATTTTTGGAAAAAAAATATAGGAGAAAAAAAAGTAAAATAAGTTAAATTTTACGTTTGATTTAGTTGATGTAATATATAACTATATATAACACTTTTATTATATTTTTTATTCTAATTTATTTACCTTTATATTTTTCTTTTATCAATAGAATATTGGCTTCCCACCTCCTCCCTCTCTCTCTATATATATATTACTTTTCTTTGTCTTCTTTATTATAATTTATTTACCTTTATCTTTTCTTTTATCAATAAAATAATCATTTTTCAATTTCCACATAAAAAAATTCACATTTTCACTAAAATGAATAGATAATATTAATCTAACCCATTTTTTTTATAAAAATATATTTTTTATTTAAAATTATTTTATTTATTTGTAATTTAGGTAAATTTTTTGGTTCGATCACCCAATGGCTTGACATGGGCTAAGTTGGCCTGAAAAATAACAGTACGAGAATAATATAAGCTAGTCTATCCTAGTCTAAAATTATCATTTGGCCCAAGTAGGCAAGTTTTGCCAGGTTGAATCAATCCATTTGAAAATTTTACTTGTCAATTCACTCCTAAGTGAGGCAGATAAAGATTTTTAACTCACTTTTAACAAACAAGCCAATCTACCTTATCTTATTTATTTTTGGTAGTTCAATTTAGACTTAAAAAAATGATCTAAATTGAAATGGGTCAATTGACCCAAATGAGTCCATTATTTGAAAATTTAAAATTTATCAAGACTATTTGACCAAGTACTATTTATGTTAATTAAATAAAAATAAATTAAACTATTATGGTTCCATAGGTAAATAAATGATTTAATCAAAATTTGGACTTAATCAACCCAACTCCCCTACCATGCACTAGTCCATAAAGTTGAACCAAATTGAAGTGATTTATTTGACAAATATAATCAAAAGTAGTTAAGTTTCTTAAATATTAGTTAAATTCCTTTAACATGCTAGATATTTGAATGGAGAAATTTTATTAGAATTTTTGACTAGGTGAAAAATATCTTTGTGCAAAACATAATAATAATAGTAATAATAATAATCTATACTTGTACTATCCGTACTGCCATGCCGAGCTCGAGCTCGGTATCACAACGTGGAATAACCTCGGGCACGCACTGGGAGATCTCAGCCTAAGCGAGATCCGCAATCTAATCAGATCATAACTGATCTCGGAGATCTCGCTCAAGATGAGATCCGCAATCTAATCAGATCATAACTGATCTCGGGGATCTCGCTCCAGACGAGATCTACTATCTAATCAGATCATAACAAATCTCAGGCCCAAGGCTCAACACAACCCTAATTCACACAAAGGTACGTGCATTATTTATACGAGACTCATACTCCCACAAACACTAACTTTAGCATCGGAGTCTCTTTTGCAGGTACCACCCCCATCTTGAAGCATCAGTGTACCAGTGAAGGAGGCTCACCAATCTTACTTGGAAGATCGTCCTTACGACAAATTCCGGTAAGAACAATACTTATTATAAAGAGATATATTTTAGTAACTACCTATTTGGCTTTTATTTTTTAGTGGACCATTATACCCCTTAAAATGTAAAAAAAAATATTCTTTTATTTTTTCTAAATAACTATCTGCAACTTTTAATATTTATCTGTGTATAATTATTAAAGGCACAAAGTGCCTCGACCGCTTTAGTAATAATAATAATAATAATAAAAATAATAATAATAGAGGAAAAGACATTATTTGACTCTTAATTTTTTTGAAAACTAACATTTATATATTATACAAAAGCTTTTATATATTATACAAAAGCTATTATCTTATGTGAGAATCTATACCTATTATAAGGGTATATATTTTAGTAACCACCATTTTGATTTCCACTTTTCAGTGGACTTTTATACCCTTGAATGTAAAAAAAAGCTTCTTATATCAACTTCAAATATTTATTTATGTGTAATTATTAGAGACATAAAGTGTCTCGGCCCCTTTAGTATTTATAAGATTTTTTTTTATGAAAGTGTGTTTTTAAGAATTTATCCAACTTTTTTTTATCTAATTAAATTTATTTATTATATTTATCTATTTTTAAAATAAATTTGATATTTTTTTTTTATTTTCTTAATTTATTATCTAATTCAATTTTTTACTATATTTAATTATAAATTAAAATTTAATAATTCTAAAATAATTTTATGTCATACCATAAATTATTTATCATAAATTTAAAATAATATATATATATATATATATTTAAAAATGTCTATTTATATAAGTTTTAAACATATTTATATATTAAAGTATAATATTTATTTATATATATAATTTATTGTAAATTTTGGTTATCTATATAGTATTAATAGTATATTATTATTATTATTTAAAAAGAAGCATGAGAATGAGATGATCCCCACTCAACATCGAGTCATTGACCCAAACCCGTTGGGCCGTTGCTGTCGCTATCCACTCGACTCGGCCAGTCTCACTTATATATCCATATATATATTCCAAACCCGCTCTTACTTGTTAGCCTCTGCCAACGAAAGACGTTTCAAACCCCAACCTTACTCTCAAACCCTCCCTCCCTCCGATTGAATGTTAACGACATGTCTTGCTCTTGCGTTTCCGATCAAAAACCATTGGACTCTTCCCTCGACCACCTTCCCTTGTCGCAACGCCTCAAATTCCTGCATTCCCCATCTCTCCAAAACCACACTCCCACTCAATTCCACGCCCTCATCAAAGAGGAACACCTTCAGGATTGCCATTCTCAGGTCAATTCTTATTTATTTTATTTATATGCCCTGTGATTGTGGTTATGATTATGATTATGATTATGATTATGCCCTCGTTTGCAACAGGTAACGTGTCCCGCTTTAAAAGCTGATGCTAGCAGACTAGAGAAAACCGGTGCTAATGTTGCCATTTTGGCTCGTTGCCCCACACTTTCTCCCTCTGATGGTCGTGTCGCTGTAAAGGTCGAAGATTATGAGACTCCGTCGTGTTCTGTTGACAAGGGTGGAGAAAAGGCATATACTCAATTAGATATTCCTACCCTGAAGGTGAAAGAGGAGATTCCTGAAGGCATTGTTGATGATCTAGATCATGTTGTGTTGAAAGAACGCCTAAGAGTGCTGCTAGATAGGTACTTTAAGTTAATTGTTAGTATTTTTCTCTTTGCTTCGGCTATTAAACATGCCTTTTGTCTTTTTACCCTGTTTAACTTTGTTTTTCATTTCTTCAAGTTGCTAAAAGCTCAAAACAACAAATGAAGAAGCAAAAATGTTAGATAAATAGTGAAAGTAACACACCAAATGGATCTTTTGATATATCTTGGATAAATATTGAAAATAACTTGTTTGGAGGAGTGTTGGAGTCTTAATTTTCTAGGAAATTCTTTCTTCAATTTGTTTATCCTTGCTAATTACACGTTGTAATTAATTCTTTGATGTATATAATCCCGACCATGCCGAGTGTAGTTCACTCGAGCAAATTTATAAGAAATCTTTGAGGTTCTTTTAAATTTTCAAGTTGTTATTCGAGTGATTTTGCATTTTATGAGTCTATAGGTTCAGCTCTTTGATTCAACAAAATTAATCCTTTGTCAATTATGTTATAAGTTGTGATAGAATAGGCTCATCAACAAATGGTCTCACCAAACAACTCTATTGTGGAAGTACTACTTGTAATTCCATAGTTTTGTCTCTCTCATTTCATGTCATTTGGATCTTGGATTTTGGATTCTGGTGCTTTCAATCACATTATTGGTAATTTTTCTCCTTTCATAATTTTTCATCCACCGAATCTTCTCATTTCTTCACCCTTCCATCCTTAACAGTTACTTCTGTTATTTTATTCCTCAATGTCCTTTTTACTTAATTTTCATTAGTCAACATGCTTGTTGTCTCTTACCTGTTCCACTACCTTTTGAGTCTCTTAATGTACAGGGCCAGAGTATGGGACAACAATTGGCATAGGCTTTGAATACCATGGTCTTTACTATCTTCAATCTCCATAATCTATCATATTTGATTTTGGAGTCCCCTAATATTTTTCTATGTTGTTTAGGTCATCAAAGTCTAAATAGATTAAAAAAAAGTGGTTCCTCATTTCTACCATTTACAGTCTTTTGAATGTGAGTCATGTCATCTTGGCAAACATATCCAGGCTACTTTCCAAAGAAAGGACGATAATTTTTTCAAATCTCCCTATTATCCAGTTGGATGTCATAGTTAGGTGACAAGTATTTTGTTACTTTTAATGATGATTTATTAATATGTGGCGGGATATTTTAATGGGAGATCTTTATTTACTGTTTGGTATTCTTCAAATTTTTTTTTTGAAATTCATAGTCACCTTGGGTGCATTATTTGTTGTGCACCACAAATTTTTCTCGACCAATAATTAGAGATTAATTCTTTTAAGTTGTAAAGATCGTTGAAGTGGACTTTGCTTGCCTGTCCTAACAATGCCTATTCCATACACATCAGGAATTGAATCCTGGCGTGCATGCTTAAGAGACCCAATTATTTATCAAATGTGCTAGACTTTATTATGGTACATTTGTATATTATGTGGTGACAATGCAAAATGGTATTTTTTTTCTGTCCTGTTTGCTTTCATGTTTTCACATGGTATGATTCATCAATCTAATTGTCCTCATTCCCCTCAACATGTTGTAGAAAAACATTGTGACCTGCTTCATAGAATTTGATTCAAATAGATTCAAAGTCCACATGGAGAGCACAGGGATAAAAACCTTAAATATTATCAAGCTTCTGCTACATCTTTTCATGATCATCTTTGATCAACACAAGCTTGAGCTCATCAATCATAAATTGTGCCTTTTTGAGAAACTAGAAAGAAAGATATATCTTGGGCTATCATTTGGACTTTGGAGCCTAGCCAATGTTTGAACATATTCATAGAGCTGTGGTATATCATTGGTAATTTGGCATAGATATTCCAAGCTTTCTTTCCAATGTCATATAACAAGAATTATATGAATGGAAGTGTGCCATCAACTTAGGGTCAATGGATATGGATTGCCGTAATAAAGAAAGGAGTTAATGATATGCCCCTTTCCATTCTTGATTCATGATAGTAGAATCGGTATTCAAATTGTGAATTGGAAGTCCCATTTTTCAAATTGCATATTGAATCATATCTTGAATCGTAAGATTCATGATCAATAATAAAACGTAGTATATCCAACTAATAAAGGCATATAAAAGAACATATTCATGATCAATAACTAAAAAACATAACTCTTGGAGCGTGTTAACATAAAGTAACATATCAAAAGCAACTCAACCACTATAAACAGGGGAGGGGACCACCAACCATCTACTAAACACTTAATAAACAAAAGCAACCAGCTACTTATTAAGCACCTGTAGATGCAGGGGACCTTCAGCTTAATAAATTCGTGGAGAGGCAGAATTCTGGCAGCTTAATTAACACTAGCAACCGTCCAGCACTCCAGCAGCTCAATAAACAAAAGCAATCAGCTCTCTGATTTTTGGGAGAGGGACCAAGAAAGAAGAGACAAGCAATTTATGGGTCACTCATTTTCCGGGGGAACAGAGGAAAGAAGAACAAATACGTGACGACAAGAAAACCTGAAATGTGAAAGAATGAGTGATAAAACATATAATTCTGACTTATTTTAGGTCATCCTATATCTCTCTTGCCGAGCAATGAAACATAATTCCATCTTATTTTCAGAATCATAGAATGCTACATCTAGGTCATAATAAGATAATCTTCATTGTCCCATGCCTTGAACTTTAGGTCATCTGAGCTTGGGTCCCCTCCTTCAATATGACTCAAACTCAATAGTCCTTTGAGAACTCTCCGAATATATTGGGCCCACTATAGATAATTGTGACCATCAAGTCAGTAGGAACCAACAACATTGGGAAAATAATTTTTTCCTCAGCCATCTCAAACAGAATGAACAAAATGAACAAGTTGTCAAATGCTTAGATCTAGCATGAATGTCAGGGAACTAGATGACAACACCCGTAGAATAGAGTGGCTGGGGTCTGATGACCCTGTCTGTGTTTGTCGGCAAGTGGATCTGGCCGGAACAGGGTGCGTGGACTACATGCGCTAGGAAGGAGGGAGGCGTGTGGCTGAATCTGATGTCGGGACTTCCAGTGTCGTGATCGTCAAGGGGGGTTGACCCTTTCTGGCCTTCCACCAGCCTCAACTGTGGTGATAACTTTAGAGAGGCCAGCAATGATGTGTGTTTGCAGCGAAAACTAGAGCTCCCAGATCAGGAAACTTTGATACTAACTTGAAAAAGGAGCTTTTATTTATAATTCTGTCACACTAATTACATTTTTATAGAGAAAACTACTATCTCTAAAATGAGGAAACTATGACTTAAAGATAAAAGAGGAAAAAGATAAAAAGAAGAAAAAGGCAAGATACTGATAAACCCCTAAAGATATTTTTGTTATTTCCAACACATCATGCACAATGGGTGGAAGGGACTTGTAATAACTAATAAGCTTGCTAGAGAGTTGAATAAGTGAAAGGGACTTGAATGGCTTGTAACTAGATGACATTTAATATCTTTTCAGAAAACATAAATGAAAAAAATGGATTTGAAATGATTTTATGCACGTTAGCTTAGCTCCTTTTACATGATATACATATCTTTTGTTCTGCGGATGCAAAAACTTCGAGTGACTGTTTGAAAAGTATAATAGCCCAACCCCTCTATCTCCTTTCAGTTTTTTGCATTTTCATTTCAGTTCCTTTTAACAATTTATTTTTTCCAGTTTGGTTCAAACATTTTATAACTAAACTACCAAATTTCCTGTTTGGTTCAAATATCATATTATAATTTTGTCATTGTGAAGAACCAAGTGAAAACTTTTTATTTGAAGGAAGCTAGATAGTATTTGCTTCTTTAAACATGGTTGAAATAATATATTTGTTATTGCAGGAAGCTCCCAGGATTGTCAAATACAGCTTTTGAGGTAATTTAATATTATTTTTAAATTAGTTGAGTGATATATTTTGTCAAAAGATTGAAAAGTTAGTCATAAATCCCTTTTGGTTCTTTGTTAGCCTTTGTTTTTGAATGAGTTAGTTTATCACTTGTTCTTGGTGATTTAGCATTAATTCTTGATAATTTTTAAGAAATTATTACATTTTAGTGTATATGTCAACTTCTAAGATGCTGATAAGAATTAGGATGCCTCTTGACTTCGTGTAATAAGGCTTTTTGATATTTCCTTTCCATCCTTGATTTTTCATAATGCATGTTTTTTTGCTTCTCTTTTGCTGGAAGACATGAATTTTTGGTATAAAAATTAATTTTTTTCATTTCAGGAACAATTATCCACATTAACAATGTTTGAAGGATGGTTACTAATTAATGAATAGCCACTTTTTGTGCAACTTAGTACTTGCTAACCAACACCTCATTTCTCATAATTTTTTAATATTTTTTTATGGGCCATTGATTCAATTGATACTGTAGGAAAGATGAACCACAGCTGTGATACAAATGAATAGGGTAGATATTAGAGAAATCCCACATTTTTATTGTTGAAATTAGAATTGGATTTGGGAGTACCAGGAATAATCTGAGATCAAAGTATTCAAATCACAGAATTTTGGGGGCTATCAGTAGTAATGATGACTTTTTCCTTAGGTTTGTATTGGTTTCACACTGGTCTGTGATTTGCAAAGACTTGAGATGGTTCATAGTATTGTGTCTTGTGTTCATAATCATATACTCATTTTTATTTTCTAATTTTAGTTGACATGTCTACACTTTTCTTTCCAAGTTACAACCAATAGGATGTTATTTAAATATTTTGTTGAAATACTATAAGGAGACGTTTGGTATGTAAAATGTTTTTACTTTTTTGTGTTAAGTTGAGAATCTTGATTTCTCGTGTTCAGTAGCTGTTAAAAAAAAAAAAAAGATTCTCAAGAATGTAGTTTTTCAAGAACCATTTTTATTTCACTTTCTCACAAAAAATTCCCACGACGGGTGAGAATCTAACTTTCTCGATTTAGATGAAAAGTTTTATATATATAAAAGACTATAGTATCCCTTTTTAAAACAAAATCTCTCGCTCCTTCTATTTCTCTGTCTCTCTCTCTTTGTCTCTCACTCTCACTCCCCCTCTCTTCCTCTCTCTCTCTCTCCTATTTCTCTTTCTCCCTCTCTCTCTGTCTTTCTCACTCTCACTCCCCCATCTTCCTCTCTCCCTCTCCCTCTCCCTCTCTCTCTGTCACTCTCACTCCCTCTCTCTTCCTCTCTCCTTTTACCTCTCCCTTTCTCTCTCTCTCTCCCCTTCCCATATCTCTATTTCTCTCTCTTTTTCTTGTATCTTATTATTTATTGATCTTGTCAATTTTAATAATATTATTAAAGTTTGTTTTATTTCTACAATTTAATGGTATTTGTTAACACTTATTTATTTATTGGAATGAAATGAAATAATATATTTTTATCCTTCTTATTTATTATGCAACATTTTTCTTTGTTTATTTCTTTTGTTGAATTTTGTATTTAAATAATTTTAGCTGTAAGTTTTCAACTTTTAAAAATAGTTTAATGGTATATTTGTAATAAGATTTGAGTAAATAAATATATCTAATGAAATTATTTTAATAAAGAATATTTTTGTAAAAAATATTTATATACTCAGGAATATACCATTGTAATCAAATATGAAAATCTTTAATTCTCAAGAATTCTATATGAATGTTTCCAAGAACTTTTACGAGTAACCAAACATATTTTAGCTATTCTCAGGAATTATGATTTTCAGGATTTGTATTTCTCATGAATCATGATTCTTGGATATGAAAAAAAAAATTCTCCTACCAAATGCCTCCTAATAGTTTCTCGTGGATTTCTTAGAATTGAAGTCAATCTATTATATCATGCTTGGATCTCCTCATTAACATTGCAACTTATTTATGTTACAGGGTAGTAATGGAGGCTTGTTCGAAACCATCATGGAACAAACTGTTAAAAAAGTAGATGAAGAGATTAATTCCGCTGATGGGGAAGTAGCAGTGGCAAGAGACCAATGTTATGTAGATGGAAGTAATATTTCACTACCGCTTGGGGCCACATCTGGATCATCTTTATTAACTGATTATGCCTCATCTAAATTGACAGGATCAGTTATTTCAGCTGGCCTTCAAGAAGATGACCATATATTAAAATCCAGGGGAACAGTCATGCAATTTGATTCATATATGGAACATAATGTTATAAATAGTGATGACTCAATTAGTTCAACTTCTCCATCCTTTGTCAAAGTCAAGGATGAACCTTGGGATTACAGTGAAAACCACAATGTTAACAAGGATGTTATGCATAGCATTGCTATCGAACTCCCAAATATTAAATGTGAAAGGGAAGCCCATAATGATTATCATGTTGATCACGTGGAACATATGAACTTGATTGATCGACTAAATTTTTTCTTGGCTGGAGCAGATGCTAGTTTAAATATTTCTACTAGCTACTCATCTTTGAAGAAGACCAAGCCTTTTTCCTCTATATCCAGCACTACTTTTTCAAAATCTGCTGA